TACTCCGGGTACTTTTCTTCTGTGTAAATACGAATTAAGCCCCATGTGCTCACTTCGTATTTGCATTGCCAAACTGCTTTGGGCCCTTGTCAGGTTACGGTGTAGGAAGAATGGTGAACCTTGAAAACTCAGTTTTTGCCGTCCAGACTCTCTACTTTGATAAAATGTGGCCGCTCTCCAAGTTTCGGAATCTGCAGTTGCTAACTGCCGAGGCTTCTGAGTTTGTTTCTGCTTGGCCCAGGATTTCGCCCACTCTTGATATGCCATAACTTTCACTATCTCTGAATGTGTCTTCTTGGTTTGTTTTTCACCGGACATTCCCGTCCAGTTGGCAAGATCTATCCTCCTGTTAACCGATCGTATATCTTCTCTCCCTTTTCTGGGCAGCTTGATTTTATTACAGGCGGACTGTATTGCCTTCTGGACAGGTGGGTCCTTTGTGCGACCTAAATATTGAAGCCTTTGTTGCTTCAAGAATATTTCGATCGGAAGGGTGGCTGTTTCGTGTTCCAGCACTCTCGTGCTCGTGGACTTGTATGCCCCGGTGACAATTTTCAGACAATTCCTCTGTATGCTTCTGAGAGGTCTTACTATCCTCTCTGGTATTTTTCCACCCGGCCCGACCTCAGCCCAAACCGGTGACCCGTATGTTAATGCCGGCCTCACAATCGTGCTGTAGAGTATCTTTGACTTGTTAAATGTGGCTCCCCACGTTGATTGAGCTAGCCTACTGAGCTTCTGAACCTACATCTCTGCCCTCAGTTGAAGGTTCTTGATGTGAGCTCCCCAGCACAGCTTGGGATCAAAGTAGATTCCGAGAACTCGTAGGTAAGGCTGTGGGACTGAGGTATGGCCTTGGATTTCAATTGTCGTTTTGGGGTTGTGTCGTTTCCTGGCTCGGGAGAAGTGCATCAGCTGATACTTTTCTGGCGCGAATCTGACCCCATGTCTTCTTGCCCACTGTTCACATACGTGGTGTTTTTCCTCGAACTTTCGGCAGTTTTCTTCAGTCGAGTTTGACCATGTCAGGATGTTAGTGTCATCTACAAATCCAACTGCTGTCGTAGTTCTTGTCTCAAGCATCGGGAGAAGTGTGCTAACAAAAAAGAGAAAGAGTATTGGTGAGAGAGCTGAGCCTCGCGGTATCCCGGTGCTGGTAGACATTCGGTCCCCTTTGAATAATCCCAACATTATTGATGTTGTTCTTTCTTCGAGGAAGGACTTTATGTATAGGTTCATCCACTTTGGAATTCCTTTTTCCATGAGATTATGAATGAGTTGATCGTGTGACACATTATCAAAGGCCCCAGATATATCCAAGCTGAGGTGAGATGCCAGCCTCTTTTTATCTTTGTCCCAGATTGTGTGTATCTGTTCTGTTAGTAGCTCGACTGCAGATATTGTAGATCTCTGTGGTCGAGCTCCCATCTGCTTGTTAGGAAGGAGGTTGTGGTGTTCTACTGCTTTGGAGAGGCGACCTGCTACCAACTTTTCGAGGATTTTACCCATAGCATTGAGGAGCGCAGTTGGTCTATAAGCCTATGGAGTGTCGTATCTGGGCTTTTGAGGCTTCCTCAGAACAATAGTAGTTGATTCTTTATACCCTTTTGGATGATAGCCTATTGCGAGGCAAGCATTGAAAAGGATAGTGAGTAATTTACTCAAGGTTTTCCTACATTGCTTTAGAACTCTGTTAAGTATTCCATATTATTTTTATTTTTATTAATTCATTCGGCAGTTAGCAACTGCAGATTCCGAAACTTGGAGAGCGGCCACATTTTATCAAAGTAGAGAGTCTGGACGGCAAAAACTGAGTTTTCAAGGTTCACCATTCTTCCTACACCGTAACCTGACAAGGGCCCAAAGCAGTTTGGCAATGCAAATACGAAGTGAGCACATGGGGCTTAATTCGTATTTACACAGAAGAAAAGTACCCGGAGTACTAAGTCCAGGTTGTCCATGCGGCTACCAATCACAGAACCCCAAGCATATGATTATGTCCTGCCCCCGATGGTCAAATGGTAGAGCTGAGATCTGGAGACAAGCCGAAGATCGATCCTACGAAGCAATGATAAACAATCTTGGAGATATAAAAAGGATAACACAGTGGATCCATAACCATGGTTGGATAGAGCAATTCCAGATGACAAAAGCGGTCGAAATACTGCTGAGGGAAAGGAAAAGGTCAAACAATGCTTGGGGAAGATAGAGATGATCTGGTTATTTTACATGGATGGCACTATAGTGTAACTGCGCTTCCTGAAGAAAACTTGTGAGAACTATAGACAACAAATAGAAAGATGTGGGAGGTTTTCACCATAAAGGTTTCCTCCCGGGTAAATATTATAGACTGTAGACACCTGCATGGGCCCACAGGGCGCCAAATCAAGTTAATGAAATCAAATTCAAATAATAATAATAATAATCAGATCGGCAGGATTGCCTAGATAGCGAACACAGACTTTGGTCGATGGCTTTGCACTGTCTACTGGGGGACTTTCGTGCTGCAGGGGGACTATTCCCAACACCTGTCAGTGGTGTCCCCTACGAACCTCCAGCTCTCACTGTAGAGTCTGCAGAGCCGAGATTGAGTAACAAAGTTTTTACTTCGATGAGTATTCCCAATCGCGTATGCGGTCTGTATCGTCTTCATCTCTCAACACATTCCCCCATCATAATTGTCATGAAGCTAACAACGATCAGATCAGGTGGTGGGGTCGGAGCCCTACTCATCACCCACCCTTGGTCATGGAGGTGAAGCCATCTGATAAGTTTCCGGAGCGTACCCAGCACCCGGTACGGCGATGGTGGATTGGATCAAGATGGCATCGACTGTTACAAAGAAGGGAGATATAGATGAATATGTGCATCTCATGTGGTCCCGGCGTCTTGGCCTCGCCTGGCTGGGGCTAAAGGTTTTTTGGGACTTATTTCCACGCACGCAGTTTCCATTGCTACCATTTTTTTTCTACATCTTTTTGGGAAGAAGGTTCCGTAGAAAACGTGGCTGAATTCTACAGGTAATTACTGAGCTGAATGGCTAGCTATCACTGGAAACATACTAGAAGTCTCAGTTCATAGCCATGGGAATAAGAATCACTGTAGAAGGAGTGGCCTAGGTCAGAGAGGAGCCCAATGTCCTACACAGTCATAGACTCAAGTTGTGAAGTAAATGCATACAACGCACATGATAAATGTATTGTGTAAATGTAAGATTACTCTTGGCCTCAGATACTCATATTATGGATGTTGTTTGCAAGTAGCACTATGAGGTATGTTCACTAGTATACAGTAGTCAGCCCTCCATGAATACCCACCAAAGGGGAATTCAAATCCCTTGGTTATCCAAGTATGACTCTTTCATCCATCCACACGAGCAACGTGAGAAATTTAGATGAGTCTTTCTGAGTTAGAGCCAGCCATCAACAATCTCAAACGGGATAAGTATCCAAGCTGTCAGGAATCTATTTGGGAGACTAGTGCGAATGATCTGCTATAACACCATCCAACCGTGAGGTTGTTTGAAGTGTGGCCTGTACTTTCACAAGCGAACTAACGTAGCATACAATGCTCTTCAAATTGAAAAACTCCTAATCAAAAATCGAAATCTCGCTTCCCTCGAAGTTGTGTTCATTTTTTGCACTGTCTAGTTCACTTGTCTCAATATCTCTGAATGTCTCTCACGTCGATCCCAAAAATCTGTCTTCCTGATTCATGCACCACTATCTTTGTCCCCTTGTGGGTATTCTTTGTTTTTTTGCATCAGACTTCAATGGCGTATGCAGCTATCTAGCTATGACACCATATCAGTAGTGAAGTATAGATAAAATGACTCAATTTAAAAATAGAGCAGTTACGGGTGTTCATATTGTTGTAGGCGTATGTTTAGTGACCAGCTGAAGTCAGAGACCTAGCCAGCAAGTGGCATGGTCATTGAATGGAGGATGCGCCAGGCTCTACATTTACACTTGTTGAATCTTTGGTGGAAATTGATCCCGTTGAGAGCGATAGAATGATTTGATGGAAAGTCTTGAATCATTGCCTCGTCGGCCATCTTCTTTTGTGTTGCAAAATTTTACCGAGCTTGATTTTCAGAGTAAACTCCATTCCCAATTCTAAGTGAGCTCGGCAGACATGTGCTCATTCCATATCCTCCACATTATGCATTGTGCAGTACTTTTGATCATAGGCAATGATCTAATATTGCGAAAGGCGATCTTTAGCCGCACTTACAAACTAAGGACTGACCTCGCTTGAGCTAAATTGAATTGAATAATTCAATAAATTAGGCTTGGCGTGGGTTAAGGTTCTCGGATGACTCGATACTACCACTAAAGCTGGCCTATTTGAGCTAAATATTGAAGTGATTGAAACGCAGAATATGTCAAGGGAAATTTTTGCTGCTCTATCTCGAAGCCCTGCGCATACCTAGATTTCTCCAAAAGTTTTCTGAAAATATGTTTCCAGTAAAACCTAGGCTCCTCAAGTCTAATATTGCCTACCGTAACATCTAGCCACAGTTAGATGTCGACAGAGTTCCACCTATCCCTCATCTCCTGACAGAGCCGGTCTATTTGGCTCTACCTCCTTCACGGAGCTTTGCAGTCGGTTAAGTGTTGTCCGTAATTCCAAGAAATTATTCGAGGGTTTCTCTCGGCAACATGCGCACCCATAGTTAATTCCTTCGTAGTGAGCCCTGTCAATGTACATGAAGAGTAACCATGATCAGTTCCAGTTGGTACTAGATGGTTAAGACCCATATGTTCGCTTGAGCCGGATTACGGAAGCTTTTTGTGTCCAGATAAATCTCAGATCCTAGAAATAATTTACTATTCAAGTCAGCCTATGACTACTAGAATGAATAGAATTTGCAGTGATGTTAGGGCCAACAAAGCTTCAAGAGCCCACTCATGTTCCTCTATTTTCGCGTGTGAAATCTGAGTTGATGATAGCGAAAGTGAGTAACTCACTCAAAATTTTCATGAAACTGAATATCTGTTTTAGACATTCAAGGGGCCATTATCACGCGTCCATCCCCTGGCACGCATTCCTTCTTCGACATTCTTCCAGATCCCTTCTACTACCTCGCGGTCCCGCCAACGGCTCCCCCCAGGTACATAACTGTCGATACCGACACTTAAAACCCCCCTTCCCCAGCCGCGCACGGTCTCGGGTAAAGGCTCATTTCGCCAACCAATGTAAACACCAAGCGTGTGGCGGAATAAATCAGTTGGCTGCTGCCACTTATAGCTTTTAAACTGCCACACTTGGCCTGTTGTGAAAACGGCCACGACACGACCCCAGTACTCTGGCTTGAATTGCTCGGGTGTATCGACGATGATAAATCGAATAGCTCTATTTGAATCAATACTCGGTAATAATCGAGAGATATGTAAGATTGATGCGCTCGAAGTCGACGTTGAGTTTGCGCCATCAGCTGGGATGTAGGCGCCATTTTCTAGGAAGGATTTGATGTTTGACATCTTTAGTAGAGATGAAGCCGATGGTGAGAGAAGGATTATAGGATCTGGACGTCGTACTGGGCCTTTCGAGTTTTGTGGAAAAGCTACAGGGTTCTGTGAGGCTGCTGCTGCGACTGCTGCTGCTTGGGCCGCTGCGGCGGCAACTTTACGCGCATTGAAAGGCGCGGCAAGCTTGCGAACATGGGAGAAATCCTAGCGCAATTAGTTGCTTACTGATTCCCTCTGGAAAGCTGGTCGACTTACTGTTGGTTTGGTTCCCCGAAGTAGTGTGTTTCTATCACCTAGCTGTCTCTCGCTGAAATAAATTTCGGCGAGGCGTGGGTCTATAGTTTTTGTCTTTCGTTGGCTACTGGTAGGTACAGCAGCCCCATGATTACCGGAAACCTGTGTACTTGGTGTCGTTGATATACTCTCTTCGACGAATGGTTTGATGTATTCACTTTCTTCACTAGCTCCCTCAAGCCAAGTTATCAAGTCAAGGCGCTCGACGAATGCTAATTTGTGGATTTCGAAGCCTGTTCCAAGCTCTGTATTAAGTGCCAATGCGGCAGCGTTATATTCGGGGATAGCGGATTCTCTCTTAAGCCAGGCGAAATAAATACTGCGAAGATCGACGGGCTTCGCAGATGATATGAATCTTGTGAGGATACTAAGTGAAACATGCCTTGGCTTTGGTGATGTGAAGTATAAATGCGTGGCAGTGGCTAGGCTAGGTTCTTCAGTCGTCGCAGAGTTTTCTTTCTTGCCTATGGTGGGCATAAAAGGAGCGTTAGAAGCAATTGATTTCCGGAGCAAAAGTAGGGGATCATTTTGTAAGGCGGGGGTTCCAGACATCTTGTAGTGTTTTATGATAATGATTAGAGGATATAATTGATGTTGATATTGATTGTGACAACAATTTGTGCTTCAATTTAGGGTGACGACATATGGCTGTGATTCTAGGAGAGCTTCCTGTACAATTGCATGAAGTACAGGGGTAATACTGTGACTTAAATCATGTGACAACGTGTATGCCGTAAATGAACTGACGGATGGAACTTTGTTTACAAGAAGCTAGCAACTACTCCGTGATGGATATTCTCATCGGGAAGCCTGTTTGCCGTCTTGGGCTATATGGTGCAGTGGTATACAATCAATGCTCTACTCGCAAGAAGAGTTTAAACAGCTTGGGCACACAATTCATGTGAGGCGGAAGAAAGCTAGTCCGAATCCAACAAAACCCTCATGCAGTTCTCCCACGTATTGTTACACTACTCGAGGGGTGACGGAAGAATACTCAGATAAATTTACGACTTTCCCGCTTCCTTCCGTGGTGAATGATCGCGGAAGCTGTTACAAATCATAAGTTTTGACCACGAGCGGTATCTGCAAAAGAAGCCTTTTTGTGAGTATTCTAAACTTCAAAATGCGTTATTCTACACAACACCAACGTGTCCCGAAAATATCTGTATGGATCCCTTGGATACCAGACCAGGAAAATTCTAAAATTTAATTTATATAATTGTAAGCCACAATATCGGGCGCTGGCGACACTGTTAACACCGCCACGGTTGGATGGTCCGGTGGTCTATCATCTTGGCCTATCTTCCAAGTAGATTCTGTGTAGTTTGCACACCCATCACACTCAAGGCAGAAGATTGCTGTTGCGAATTCGGCAAAACACATCCACTTTTCTCGCGGTGCAAGTATACATTGATGACGAAGACATGCTTGGATAGTCAAAGGTTCTGAATTTCCCTTTGGTGGGTACACAAGGAGACGGGTCGACTGCTTGTGTAGGCAGGCATACTTTATAGTGGTATTTACATATAAAATACAGAGTATGAGTGTGTCTAACGTCAAAAGAGTCATACAACATGTATTCGCAACACCGATTATGTTTTTGAATTTGATTTCATTTAGCCCGACTTGGCGCCATAAGGCCCATGCAGGTGTCTACGAACTCTAATATTTATATAGGAGGAAACCATTATGGTAAAAATCCCCTCAACTTCTCAATTTATATACACTTTAATGTTATGTTTATTGAAGGGTGGTGATGTATATGGTCGTATACACTTGATATCTTCAATTGAATGGTTGTGACTACTCCAGGGGCTTAGAATATAGTTGGATGATTATGGCAATACATATTACGGGATGCGAATGGTATCTTATTGTTTTTTTTGTTCATTTACGTGCTAGGTAAAGTGACTACCAAATATTGGGAATTAAAATGTTTGAATATATCGAAATTTGTTAGTCTCTTTAATGTAGAAACTAGAAGTCCCCTATAGTCATAGACTCAGATAGGACTATAATAAAATCTAATCTAATCTGAAGTGACTACCGTTGCACTCCTACTGGAACTTAAGCACGGGTGGGGCCGGGCCGGATCAGGTTAGCTACCGTAAAGTACAAGTGCCTCGTCCCACCTAAATGACCGGACCACCTCAGACTTCACCCATGTGTTGAATCATGTCAAGCCCAACCGTCCAGAGAACCCCCTTTTGACGCGCTGAAGCGCAAATTCCTCCTTAGCCTCGTCCACTACGCGCCCGAGCCCTTGGCATCCTCATTGACTCCGAAATGTAAATGCCGTCCAATATTTCATCTTTGCTCTAGCCTTGCACCTTCGTATCGTACCGTCGGGTTGTTGTCGTCATTGGGGATTTGTGGAATCCCCTCGGTGTATCTTCCCCTTTTATTCCTCCTTTGCACACGTCCTGTTTCCATCATGACTTTCCTCATTAGGGCGTGTGTAGATAGGTGACGTGACGAGTATCGAGGTGGGTCGCAGATGTGATATCGGCAGAGATAAGGATCGTCGCAAATATATAAGGAGTTTGAGAGATTTTGGATGTTTGAATACGACTCCTAGACAGGCTTAGGCCCATTCGTGAATCGTATGTTGGTGGTGATGAGTTTTTGTTCGACTTAGTTCCGGCTGTGAAATCTCTGCCGACTGATCTTTCGACCAGAATATCGAGTGCAACTCCTTCAAGTCGAAAATCCATTAAATAAAATTCATCCCACCCTTTTTCGTGACTGAATCTCGGTTCTGGCAGAATATTTCACTCCCAGGTTCGTAGAGGGCACCACTGACAGGTGTTCACCCTTCGTCCTCCTGGTACCTTAATGTGTTCTTGTTGTTACGGGAATACTCCCTTGTCTGTATACTGTCTGCGCCAGTGCGGTAGAGATGGAATCTAGGTTCTAGTCAGCTATAGAGAATACCAAGGGTGGAGATTGGAAATGGTTGCTAAGCAACGGAGACTGTTATGATCAGCGTCGTTAATTAAAATCCCTTATGTAAATAGCAAGATGTAGCAGACCTTCCGTCTTTAGATTTGGTTAATTAACTGATTATTTTCTGGACTTGCTCTGCTGTATACTAACACCAATTGATCCGGCGACACTTATGTTCTGTTAAAGATTATCTACATGATAATTAACCAATCCCACATACTTCCAGATAGCGCCGTAGCTAGTCTCTTTTAGGAGTGGTCTACGGGTGAGTGTAGATATCGGTGGTATATAACTTATCACTAACCTGTTTCCATTTCCCTAGCTCTGCATGCTACACTACGTGAATGACCATTAACTACTAATGTGAAAAGCGCATCATGACAGTGTTACCTTTAAGAAGTGCACTAACACTATTATGCCAAGGACGGATACCGTCTACTTCTCTGTTACTGGCAGGAGATCATATGGATTTACTTTCCTATCTCTCTCTCATCGTGGCCTCGACTTCAAGCGTCAGTCGAAACTGCTCCAATCTCCCTTCACATTGAATCGACTTTGTAATTCTTGCCATTTCTTTCGGGTTATTCATCACCGCTTCAAATGACCGAGACTCCACCTTTCTCAACATTTCCCCTCCCCCTTTGGCCCAGTTAGAGCAAGCCATGATTATATGCTTGACGTTCTGGGACTGATATCCACATTGGCATCGTGGGCTGTCTACTCCGGGAACATGTCTTCTGTGCAGGTAAGAGTTGAACCCAGTGTGCTCACTTCTTAACGGCAGGGCTATACTACTTTTAGCCCTGTTAAGGTTTTTATGGATACTGATAGATGTTCCTCTGTAGTTCATTCTTGTCTCTCCGGTCTGATCGTCTATGGAAACGTTGGCTGCAATCCAGATTTTGAGATCTGCCGTCGCTTGATCATTAGCAGGTTGCCTGGTCGTTATTCTCGTCCAGGATCGTTCCCATTCTCTTAAAGCTGCGACCTTTCCAGCTGCTTTTGTCGTTCTTTGGATTTGATATTTCCAGTAATTTGGCCCCACTCAGAAGCGTCCAAGATCCTTGTGCATCTTGCCTTCCAGCTCGGGGTTGCTTTATCTTCCTGCATGCCGACGATATTGTAACTTGAACAGGCAGGCTTGTCGATAGTCCGGCGTGTTGGACCCTCCTTTGTTTCAGACAAATCTCCATTGGTAATATAGAGGTCTCATGCTCAAGTACCTTGCTGCTGGTCGAATTGTATACTCCCGTGATGATCTTTAAGCATCTCCTTTGAATACTTCGAAGTGGCTTGATTACTCTTTCGGGAATTTTGCCGGCTATTCCGGGCTCAGCCCAAAAGGGGGACCCATAGCTGACAGCTGGTCTCACCACTGCATTGTAATAAGTTTCGCCATGTGGAACGTTGCACCCCAAGTTGATTGTGTCGATCTACCTAAGGCTTGTGTTTGAGGTTCGACTTTAAGCTGTATGATTTTGACATGAGCACCCCAATTGAGCTTCGGGCCGAGGTGGATTCCTAGGTCACGGAGAGAAGGTTGCGGCTTCGCGATATGGCCTTGGACTGTGGCCTGCATACTGTGCCTCTTTCTAGCTCTTGAGAAGTGCATGAGCTGGTACTTCTCCGGAGCAAATTTCACTCCATGTCGGTGGGTCCACAGTTTACAAATCCCATAGAAACTTTCGAGATTTCGGCGATTTTCTTCTGTGGAATCGGACCAGATTAGCATGTGTTAGACCCTAGGGTCAATTGAATATGTAAAGTAAAGTCTATTGGTGAAAGTCTGTCTGTCCTAGTCTAAAGAAAAACTACTGTATATACACATGCCCCCTGAGAATATCTACGTGCGGTGATGAAGTGCAAGAGCATCTTCCCACAGTGTATCAGGACTGATACTTTCTAGAAACATCGTGGTTCTACTTGAGACTGCCTTTCAAACACCCGAGGAAATACCCAGCCCAAAACTGCTCTCAATGATGCGCTACGACTCATCAAACGACGTAGTTTGACCAAAGTCATACCATTCAAACAATTCCATGTTTGACAGTATGTTAGTATCATCCACGAATCCTACAGCCGTCGAAGACGGCGACTGAAGTTCGGGAGGAAGCGTGCTGACAAAGAATAGGAAGAGGATCGGCGAAAGGGAAGAGCCTTGAGGAATCCCAGTACTGGTAGGAAGCTGCTCTCCTTTGAACGAACCAAGGCTCATAGACGTAGTTCTATCCTCTAGAAACGATTCAATGTAAAGCGTCATCCATCTTGGTATACCTTTAGCCCTCATATTATGGATGAGTCTCTCGTGAGACACACTATCGAAAGCTCCGGATATATCCAGGCTGAGTAGAGAAGCAACTCTCCTTTTGTTCTTTCCCCATATTGAGTGTACTCCTTCTGTAATAAATTCCACTGCGGTGATCGTAGATCTCAATTGTCGGGCTTCCATCTGTTCGTCAGGGAGTAGATTGTGGGCTTCGACTGCTTTCGATAATCTGTTTGCTACAAGCTTCTTGAGGAATTTTACCGAGGAATTCAGGAGTGCGATTGGTCGATATGATTTAGGATTATCATAAGACTCCTTTCGTGGTTTTCGCAGCACAATG